CAGTCTCTTGCTTCAATTAGTGTTGAGGATAATTGACATCCCAATGTCCAGCTAATCATTGTGCTTCCTTGACACTGTGGCCAACCCATCAGATTGAATACCTTGTTCTGTTACTTTCCCTAAACTTTACGTCACCTTATGTCTCATCAACCCCTCGACACGGAATTTCAACTAATTAAGTGTGGTTTTGTGACTGGCAAGCCAGGGTTACATAGCATACCGCTCGACCTGCTTCCAGACTTCCAGGCTTTGTCTTCATACCAGCAAGCGTGGACCTTTGTCAGTCGCTTGTCTCGAAATCACTGGCCGGCGTTTCATGAACGTCGGTTTATCCACAAACCTTAGTGATTAGTCTTGTAGTTCTTACTATGATGTCTTCCTTTTATTGCTTTTTCTATTCTCAGCCTGGCGTCCTGACCTAAGCGTCCCCAATCTGGTTGCGTTAACCCTCAGTTGTTTCCATAGTTTCGCGCATGTTTACTCCAGAGGTCCAGTTCCGTAAATATATCTCGTCCATTTTTAAGGTCTCCGGAGCATGGTTTCAACGGATTGCACATTCTTCCCATCAGTACGCGCAGAGTTTTGATGGACATTCTGGTCTGTCGGTTTTACTGTTCGGTGGTCAAGCAATTATGGCAATCTACTACCTTAACAAAATGCGGTGCACGGAATTTCGCATTTATATGGGCTTGTAGAGTCCCGTAAACTCGCTTCCTTCCCTTATTGGTAGTTATCGCAACTCACGCTCTGGTGCGTAATATGATGCAATTAACACTTGGACGAATTAGCAGTGCGTCACGGGACCAAATGTTATCACCCGCTTCCCATCGGTATTGCACGTCAAGGATTGATTCACCGGATATGTCATGTACATTCCTATGCGAACTCGGGGACTGCATGTGACCAATTGGTGTTGTCAGAACAGAGTCACAATTCGTTGATTATTACATGTTTCCGAATCACTGAATGCCTGCTGACTTAAATGGTAACGTTGTTGCTAACGGGTAACAGCAGAACAAGCGTCCCGAAAGGATGATGTACAATTTGGTCCGCACCAACTTATGATCCTTGCAACCCAACCCCAAGCAATACACGTATCATGCGCACTTCACTCATGTCACGCTGGCGTACGATGACGTAGTCGAGCAGATAAGCTTGCCAACCCTGTGGATGCGTCCAAGTAGCTATATCACTCGCACGCACTGCAAACTGTGTGTTCGTGATCGTCAAGCTGTAAGTGGCGCGCATTGAGAGCAGCCGGTCACTGTTCCTATCGGTTGAGCAATTATTATAGGGACCGATTCGGTCTGTTCACAGTATGGGAGCACACCCAACGCACACGTTAAGATCACCGAGTACGAACAGTCGGTCGCCTCTCGGCACAGACGATATCACTGAGTATGACTGAGTGTAGAAGTGATCCCACATGTGAGCAGGATAACATGGTGGAAACATACGTGCTTAAAAAGATAGCAAACGTACCTCTCCAAAGTCGTAGGCGAAGAGTCATCAATCGTGGGCTGAGATCATTCGTACTTGACAACAAATAGCCCATCGGATAGTGCAAATTTGCTCCCATGTCTACATGGTGCTGTGATGGCCTTTCTCACACAATAGAACGTGTAACTAGCACCATCCTCATGCCACTTGCCTTGGTCAGCGACCTGAGTCTCACTGAGTGCAACGATATTAATGCCGTAACTTGCACTCCATCGTGACCGCTGCGCTGCGTCGATCGGGTCACTCACTCGTGTTCCGGTCTAGCAGTGTGCGCACATTCCAGCATCCGCTGTTGAAAATTTTGCACAAAGGCATTCGATTGCACCGGGCAATCCCACTCGTGATAATCTGGATTGGAAGAAGTGGTGGGTTGGTTGGGATGGGGACATGAAGAGGTGAATTTTTGTGTGAAGAAGCAAAAAGGAAAGCGTCAGCATTAGCATGTTTTCACTTATTCACTCCGCTGTATTTAGCGTATAAGGCGACGCTTTTCGCTCTTCCCCACTGCGCCACGGTCGATGCAGCAAGACATTATCAGTGCTAGTGGGATTCATGGTTTCTGTTTGGAATGGTATGCTGCGATTGCCTAAACACCTGGAAAACAGCCCGACTCGGGTCCTAGGCCAAAGGATTAGATAAAATGATTTTCAGATAAGCAGCAGGACTTGTGCACTGAGTGAGTGAACCGATTTACGCAAGTCCGTGTTTGTTCTGGCCCTTAGGTAAATAATGCGTGTACGCCAACTTCCACCGGTGGTGGTTACGAGGAGGAGTCCAGAATATGAATCCACGGCACAATATTGGGAGAAGCGAGGCAACAATCTGTCAGGTTCTCGCCACAACTAGCTTTATCCAGCGATGTATTCTCCCTCCACCACAACTTTTCCCATTGACTGCATCCATAGTGCAATTGAATTGCTCCCTAAGGCTTTGATTTGCACCTGAAAGTCGACTGAACTTAATCATTAGCACAATTAAATTGCATACGGTATCCTTTCTGGACACCAAGAGCGCGCGAAGTGACCTTGGCATTCAGCTAGCCAAAAGAAGCCAATAGCGGTAGACTTAATACCCCTTGCATGAATGTATAAGTTGGTAGTGTGCCTTGTTGACAAAACAGAGATCTAGTCAAGCTATAACAATAACTGGAAACCCCAGGGTCAAATTATAAACAGAAATATGTAGATGAAACCATTCCACGAGATCGATGGACATTTTGTGAAGGGCACTACCACCACATGAACCTACCCATCGGCTCAACAAGAGCCCCCGCAGCAACTACCCTAATGAAATATACCGAGGACATCATCCGGAGTATGCATCATCAAAACGCCGATTGTTCTATGAGATTGTAAAATCATCTGGAGGACCTCAGTAGTTGGTCCAAATCTCGTCATCTGTCTCTTAATTCATCTGAATGTCATAATACATTTTCTTCGCGACACATAGGAGCGAGGTACTAGCAGCTCCCTACACAAGGCCCCAAGCAGCTTTGTGACAGTGATGGACTGAACGCTGCTACATCTGTGAGATACATAGGTATGGTACTTGAAGTTATACCATGTGACCGACTGACAAACCATATGTACGATATGGCCCTCCTTGGGCCTGACCCAGGGGCTACGTAAGCAAGCTGATTCGACTGACATGCAAAGTTGCACGCCTCGGCATGGGTTTGCACCTTCACAGTGCAAAGTGCTGTGACAGCATCGGTCCGATCAGCCACTTGTGCTGGCTGTCCTTATAAAGGGGGAACTTCAGAGGCAATCCGAAATGTAGTAAACAAATAAAAAATAAGTATGATCTACCAGCAAGTTCAAACGGTCCATTCGACACGGGTGCGTTTGGATGACTCACTCCCCGCAGGTAAAAGAATACGGGCATGAAATTGACTCGCATAGAGTCAGCCCGTAAGGCTGGCTGCTGAGCATCGGAAATTGCCGAAGACAACAGCTGCGTAGGCAGCGGAGGGAGTGGAGTTTCTAGTGCCTGGCGGGCTGTGTTATCCTGTCAGTCTGAGGGGCGTTGGCGAACGGGTCTGGGAAAGAGCGCGAACACCAAACCACTCCTAATCTCATGGTAGGCAGACACGTAAATGTGAAGACCTGGTACAATAAACCACCTACGATCTCTAATTCGGCACTGAAAATGACACTTTGACCTGTAAGGGGAATAACATCCTGCTGGCATCTCGATGACCGCCAATATTGTCCATTCTCGTAATGAACGCATTACCAATCACCCCCTGGTTAACTTGGCCTGATGAAGCTTTCGTGTTGAACGCAAAACGTTGCACTCTAACTACACAATGGACTAGTTTGTTGGGTTTGGTTTCCTTTTCAAGAAATATGTACCTTTCTTCATTTTCCCAAGGTTAGGGCTTTCGGACAAAGTCTCTTTGTGGGAGATGATGGTGTTGAGAAACTTAGTCAAAGCTGCCCACGATCTACGATGAGCCATTTCGTCTGAATGAATTTTTCCGGATATCCATTGGATAGCAGAGGCCGGTATAAAGGGTGGCAGAACACTTCCCGTTGTGGCTAAGACAGTTGCTGTTTAACCAAGGCGCAGTGGACCAAGGAATGAACCGGAGCCCACCTCACCTATCACCAAGCACTCGTCACCAGGTGAACCCAAACGATTCGTTCGTGCTATTGGCAACTGGAACCAGACGTTGTTGTCAATTGGCGAGGCACTGGTAATAAGATTGAAATATGCGCGCAGAAACAACTGAGGCAATCAATTAGATTGCTTTGAACCTGATTACATCATTCACATCAATTTTAGCTGTTTATCCATCTTACCAAGTGGGAAGCGTATCTAATGCGAATTGTCTTCTGCCTGTGTTGCGTAACTACTGACGAGATCAACGGAAGCGTTAACATTTCGCAAACTATGTCTTCTTAATGCGTTAATGGTGGTTTTAGGGGACTCAGTGTTTCAACCTTCATGTGTCGTCGCAGCTGCATAAAGTGCATAATACCATCCCTTCTTCCAGAATGTACGCAGTGTAGCACGAGCATAGCACTCAGCCATTACCTGCAAAGTTTGTCTATTAGTTCCCTCCATCAATCGTTTTTCTATAACTATACTTCGGATTTCTCATGCCAGAGGAAATCATATTCGCTTATTTTGTCATTTTCAGCTTTTGTAATCGAGTCCCGTCAGTTTTGAACACAATACACAGCGTAGCTACCGGCGACATCCGTCGCTCCACTGGTCTTCCGTGCTTCTCATATCCACACCAAAAAATCCGCACAGTCCATTAGTTTGCGGTTGTGCTCCTATGGTTACGAATAATAGCTTTTATGGAGGGTTTTAATGCACAAAGCAGCAGTAATCAGTGCTCAGACATCGTTGGGGGTCCAGAAACATCCTCATTGGGCTGGCCGAAAGACCAATGAAGTTAAAATGCCAAGGCAATCAGTTTGCATTATTAAGACAGATATCGCACGAGCTGAAGTAGAAGATTTTCTAAAATATTTCCGCGAAATCGAATAATGTATGGACTGCTAATAGTGGGTGTTCAACACTTTGTTGAGCAACACTTTGGTCATGAACTGTGGCCTATTATCGTGAAATGTGCTGGCTTACGAATCACAGAGTTTAAAACTCAGCAAGTGTATTCGGATTCGGTGATCAGACAACTTATTGAGGCACTTGTGGCTGAAACTGGTCTCTCGGAGATAGATCTTGGGTATCTGAATGGACTGTACTTCGCCTCATTTACGATTCATCATGGGTTTGAAAAGCTTTTAAGGATACAAGGACGAACATTTATTCATTTTCTCCGCAACCTGGATGACTTACACGAGCATATGCGGTTCTCCTATCCGAGGATAAGACCGCCGTCTTTTTCTGTTCTCTACGAATCACCATCACTCATTCGTTTCTTATACTCGTCCAAACGTACAGGCTATGAACACTATGTGCGTGGTCAGTTGGTAAATTTAGCCAAGAGATTCTTCGACATTAACATTTCCGTTATTATTGTGAACAAGAGGAGGGTTGGTCCGGTGAGACATATCACTTATGAGATCACCCACGACGGAAAGAGTTGGGGGACGGCTGACGAAGTGCAACAGAGTCAGCAATTGAACCATTGGGGACCGATGATGAGCGGATCGGAATTTTTCAAACTGTCCTCTTTCTATTTGGTCATCAGTCGAGAAATGAAACTGGTGCGAGTGAGCCAAACGTTCGAGAGACTGGACTGCACTCTAAATGGGGCCGCCTTCACGGACAAATTTACGCTGGTACGCCCCTACATTGAGGCAACATTTGAGGAGGTGCGTTCCAGTGTATACATGTCCTCTCGAATATATATTCCTTAGCTGACTTCATCAGCTAGTTAGCGGTTCAAATGAACTAGAGGTGAGATACCATACTGCTCCCAACCTACCTACTTCAACTGTCCTTTTGGGTTTCAATTGCTTGCAAGTGTGGTGACCGACCACAAGTATTTTCCTTAGCTAGACATGTTTGAGCTCCAAACGGGTCCATGTTTCCCCGCCATATGACACTTAGTCCGGTATATTGTAAGTGGTGGTTCCACGTATTTCGAGTTATATGGTGTCTCAACAATAGTTAAACAAATTCGGGCATTAGCAAGTAATTACATAATCTTCATAATTCGTGGCTGCGCCTATAAATCACGTTTATCATATGATATAATCATCTTCAGGTTGGATGGATAGCAAATCAAGGGCGGAACAGTGGGAACCGTCATTTTCGGTCAGGGGACATTTACGCGGAGTAATTACATTGAAAGTATATAGAACGAAGACAATCACTCTATCAATGCTGTCAGATTCATTGGAGATATTCTCGCCACTTATTGGACTAATGGATGTCATGGCTAAGTGCATACCGGTTCTTGAAATGCTTCGCTTACTGGGACACCTGGTCCACATGGCAGTTGAGGAGGGGATGTGTTTATCTCCAAAGAATGCTCACAAAACACAAGAAAACAAGCAATCTTAGAAAGCCTAACTCAAGGGGGTGGTGTTAGCAGAATAGTCCAGATAAAGTGATTAGATAGAAACTGTCACGCGTCAACCTGATTGACAATCCAGGGACAAGATAATGTACTTTAAAAGCTGGTGACCCATATAAATCTACAATTCGTTTCAGCTTTGCAGCGCTCTGTGTTAAGTTCAGCACACAAATTTGATCCTAAACCAATAAGATGTATGGGCTCCTTCTCGAAGGATTCAAACAATATGTCTCAGGAGCGTTTGGTGAGGAAATGTGGTGGTTGGCCTACCAACATGTTACTGGACAACTGAGTCTTATTCAGACCAGAAGTATTTATCCAGAGGTCTTCTTACCCGATGTAGTAAGTTACATCTCTGCTATGATGGATGTCCCCGAGAGCGAGCTGTACTATCAGTACGGGTTCTCGTTTATGCAATTCGTCTCCGAATCCGGTTTTGGAAGTCTGTTGCGCGTTCTCGGAAAGGGATTCATGGACTTTCTACAATCACTTGATGATCTACACCATCATCTTCGCTTCAGTTATCCTAGAATAAAAGCTCCTGCTTTTGCGATTATTTCGAGAACGGATAAGACGATTACACTACTATACCAAAGCAGCAGAAAGTATTTGGGTCATTTCGTCCGCGGCCAATTGGTCGCAGTCGCCTCCGTTTTATACCATGTGGATGTAGAAGTGAGGCTAACAAGTCAGATGAAAACAGCCAACAGTGCTACATTCACATATGAAATAAGAAACACAAGTGGAACTTGGCCTAAGGGATTTGAGCAGAAAGATTTGCCCGGTGACTTTACCAATGGAATCCATCTCTCACGAGTTATCCATGGTGGCCCGTTCTTCTCACTATTTCCGTTTCATTTGCTTTTCAATGAGTCGATGGAAATCATCAGCGCCGGAGATGGCTTCCGACGTATTCTGCCTAACATAGTTCAAAAGAAGTTGACGGACCTCTTTTTAATCTCGAGACCACCGGTCTCTCCCATTGCGGCTGAGGTAACTGACACCTGCTTTGCAAGGTACCCATGCAGTTTTTGCAGTGACATTATTAATTAAAAATAACTTGCACATGGTACACGTTAGACGTTTAGTTTCTAACTGAGCACTTGCAAATTGTTCTAGCCTTCGCTTACCAACCTGGAATGCACTAGTAACCTATCACCATAGAATGGCCATGTTTCTTTTAAAAATGTTAGAGTAGGGAACACTATGATACATTTATAGTAAATTCATCGCGACAACTTTCAAGCAATATAGCCTTAGCAGCAGCTCGGAAAAGCACCAGAAGCAAGTTCTGTCTGTGTGGGTTGGAATGAGGGTGCCTACTAACGCCAGAACACGAATTAAATGGTCTGGATGACCTAGGAGACGTACATAAACTTTCCTAGTTTTCGAATATGTCCTTTCGCACTGCAGGCTATTTCGTAAAATGTGAGGCATTTATTTATTGCGGAGATTCTGAGTACCCGACTCAATGCTAAATATCTATCAGGATCCCGAGTTGCTTTTAAGCGAATCTTGGTCATTTCTGACACTGGAACCGTTTCCGAAGTACAGAGTTTTAGTAGGTGTGCGCTGTAGTCACCAAATTTGAAAATGTGGGCCTTGAGAGCTAGCGTTGTAGCCATCTAAGATGATAAGATCTTTGTATCTTGGCCGCACTTACCTTGAATAATGAACAATGATTTATAATGGGCAAATTAACAGGTGCATGTCATATCCCGTAGGGTGGTTAGAGTGAGAAAAGATAGATCAAGGGATAATGGAATCGTCGGTTTGGGCGATTACAGATTTAACTGCATTGTCGTATAGAGGAAGTTTGAAACTAGCATCTGCGCACACAAAGCAATAAGGGGAGTTGTTATTGATCACGTAATAATCGAGAAAAAAAGAAAAAATAGCAAGGACAACGCTTACCCGTGTGCAGCTATCTCGCGTCGACGGGATACAGAAATCCAGTTTCTACAGTAGTAGTGTTACTCAAATTGTGTGTAAGGGGTTTGGAGCAACTCATTCTCGAGTAGGGTTATGGCACCGTCGACTGTCTGTTGTGCATTAGTGCCAGCATCTGGTGGTCATGGGCTATAGCACGTAGCGTATATGTGACAGCGTATCGTCAAGGTTTATCTTGTAAAGGCATAGGGTGGAAGCATTAGTTACTTGGTCCGAGAGGACGTCCCAAGTCTGCGACATACGAAGGGAGAAAAAAATCCCGCCGACATTCCAGTGGGCTGTATTGTGCGAGCAGCTTAAACTGATTGTCCTCTTAACTGGGTGTTTTGACTGAGTACCAGAAGGGAATGGCATGGGTGGTTGGGGTTTCTCAGGATTTGGTACACCATTATAAGATCGCCCCTTAAACGCCAATAACGTCCACTGTATAGTTTGAGAGTCTTCGGCAGAGATACCCTCTGCACTGGGGAGTGATAAACGAGCGCCACGTAATATGTGTTGTCGTGTCATACTTTCAAGCTGAACCAGAGTGATTCGGTATGACGTTTCCGGGACATACAATCACTTACCCTGAAAGTCACAGTGTTTAAGACAGATGAATTCCACCTCCACTGTTGCAGCGATCCTTTTGGACTTTGGATGTGCCCTGTACCGTGAACCACGTGAACCACCTGCTAGTTATGGAAACCGCCTCAGTTACGCCCAATCGTGGATGTAGCCGCCGTTCTCTA